AGTTTTTCTTCGATAAAGGCGAAAACGCAAGCCAAGCGACTGAAAATGTGAATAGTGTTTATGGTCCTGATACTGTAACAGTCAATCACGTGCAATTTTGATTTCGTCGATTCCGTTCCGATAATTTTGATGTCAAAGATGCATCACGCTCTGGGAGGCCAATTGTCGAAAATGTCGATAAAATAATGGAAATCATCGAGTCCGACCGTCATGTAAGCACTGTTTCGATTGCCCAGGAGCTAAACATTGCACAAAAAATCGTTTGGAACCACTTGAATAAGGCTGGATATAAAAAGAAGCTCGATGTATGGGTGCCACACGAGTTAACGCAAAAAAACCTCATGGACCGAATTTCCATCTGCGAATCGCTGCTGAATCGCAACAAAATCAACCCATTTTTGAAGCGGTGACTGGTGATGAAAAGTGGGTCACTTATGACAACGTCAAGCGAAAACGATCGTGGTCAAATCGCGATGAGCGGCGCAAACGGTGGCCAAGTCAGGATTGACGGTCAGGAAGGTTTTGCTGTGTGTTTGGTGGGATTGGCAGAGAATCTACTATGAACTGCTCCCCTACGGTCAAACTCTTAATTCAGACCTGTATTGTCAACAATTGGACCGTCTGAAGGAAGCAATCGCCCAGAAGCGGCCAGCGTTGGCCAATAGGAGAGGAATTGTGTTCCATCAGGACAACGCAAGGCCACACACATCGATAGTGACTCGCCAGAAGCTCCGGGAAGCTTAGTTGGGAGGTTCTTATGCATCCACTTTATAATCCGAACCTAGCTCTAAGTGATTACCACCTGTTCCTGTCTATGGCGAATGATTTTGCTAGTGAAAAATTCGCCTCAAGAGAAGCTTATGAAAATCGACTGTCCCAGTTTTTTGCCAATAGGGATGAAGATTTCTATGAGAGAGGCATAATGGAATTACCTTCAAAATGGCAATAAGTTATCAAACAAAACGGTGCATATTTGACCTAAATCGGATCATTCTAACTATACTAAATAAAGCCTTCAATTTCATGCAAAAATAATGGATATCTTGTTACTACACCTTATATATACATATACATATACAGGGTGAATCGTAGATAGTGGGATCGTATATTCATGTCACCACAGGGTAATATGCCATACAGATATATAGAGTGAATCAGAGTCGTTGAATCAGCTTTTTACCCTATGAGAAAATTATCGATTGCACACGTTATAATTCAATTATATCGCATGCTTGGGTAGGTATGAAATCAATAAATTTTTTCTCATGGAGTAAAAGCTGGTTCAACGACTCTATATATACAGGGTGGCATGAATATACGGTCCCACTTGTCCCGAGCAGGTAGAGTGGACTAAATTGAATAGAAAAGTTCTCTATCATTTTGTAATGCTCGCATTAATTAACGAGATATTAAACATTTAAAGATAGCCGAATACGCGCGTCCGCTCGACTTACTATTGTCGAAGGTACGGCCCACCGAGCGCATGGCCCGCGGACCGCGAGGAGCGGGAATGGCCTAGCAGGCGCGTCGTGCCGTTTGAGCTTAGATGCTCGCGACGATAAACCCCGCTCCTCACGGCCCGCGCGTTCGGTGAGCCGTGCCTTCGGCAATAATAGGTCGGGAGGACGCGCGTATTTGGCTATCTTTAAACGTTAATATCTCGTTAATTATTGCGAGCATTATAAAATAGTAGAGGACTTTTCTACTCAGTTTAGTCCACTCTCAGGACGAGTGTGGCCGTATATTCATGCTACCCTGTACACACACACACACACACACACACACACACACACACACACACACACGCACGCACGCACGCACGCACGCACGCACGCACGCACGCACGCACGCACATGTATAAGATGCATTATAATCATTTTACATATAATTATATTTATACATGATTACCTTGGTGAAAAAATTTAGCTGAAATTAATCCACGTTTTGGAACATTTCAGCAATTTCGCAGTAATGTTCCAAAACATGAAATAATGTGAATGAAATTTTTTCATTAGGATATATTGTATAGATTTTTAGAAAGAATATCTTAGAAAATAATTAATGATAAAATTTGTATAATTTCATCTTTTTTTTTTAGATACACAACTCGAACAGGACAAGTCTTTTAAATGTTCAAATATTTCTGATACTCGTGAGTTTGATGATAGTTATCATGTTCCGCAAAACCAAGAAAATTTTAAAGGTAAAGAAATTATTTGTTACTAATAAAATTTATATCGTTTATAAATTTATAAAATGTATGTACTCACATACACACATATTTTATATCTATTTTACAGATGATATTCAAGAGAATTATTCCGGAAGGATAAAATATAATGCAAATAAATCTTCATCTAATACAGAAGAAAAGCGGTGTCTTCTTATGATAAAACACAGTACGTAATAAATTATTATTTTTATATTTTATATATTTGTTATAAATATTTTAAAATGTGTTTTAATTCATTATTAATATTCTTTAATTTTTGTTCAGTTTTTTTTTTTATTATATTCCTGGAATTGATATAAAAATGATAAACAGAATGAAATCTGAACTTTCTAAAGATAATCAGGAAAAATATTATAGGTTTTTACATATTATATTATACTATTTCTATAATTTTATGGTCGAGGTACCTATATTTTTAATTGTTAACAGTTATTTTTCTT